CCGTTAATCGCCACGCATGAAGAGGTACCGTTCGTGCCATCATTGAGGCCGGCTAGATCGGGCATGATCACAGCCGTAACAAGTACATGAAGAGTGTGATTTTGGGCTGGCTCGCAAGAATTGTACTATCTAGTTGACACAATTGTGAAAAAGTTCGCGGCATGCGAAACCCGCAAGGAGGGAAGGCCTTCTACGCAAGCCAACGCTCTACCTACTTGAGCTACGAACACCACGCTTCACACCGTGAGTTTAATCACACTTGAATTGATATTACCCGCCCAATTTAGTTGACCCAATTTTGAAAACTTCACAATTGGGTCAACTAAATAAACCAAACCTGCCAAACCTCCTTAATAATTGTACTATCCTCTGAGTGAACACATCGGCCTATTCCCGATGAAACGCATGTAGAGCATGTTGCGGGTCCTATTTGATCGACTTCTAGATAGGGGGTCGTAGTTGATAACACCGGCGACAGTTTAACATGTACAAGCTCTACTATAATGAGAATGCGTTCAATGACCAGATTACTTAATATGGAAATCAGGTCATACCCTAGGACTCTATGTGGAGCCCCTGCAGGCAGTTGCATAACAACCAGCAATGGTAAATGAACATCAGCAAGGGCAAAACACGTGGATGGTATTTCTGGCTTACTAATCATCATCAGTCAGCTATACCAACTTCCAGCCTTGGCTAACCTGGGATTCTAACACACTATTTGTTAAACGTTTTGCTACTGCACTAACTGTTCATTCGCTTGTGATTGAGAATACCTAGCATCGTGAGAAGGTTGTTAACTGATTAGGGTAAGCAAACTTTTCACCCCGTTATGCATTCGATCTCAGTCTAGGGCTATTCTTGGGAAGTAGTTGTGTATTACCCCGGCCATGAAGCCGGCGGCCCGCGAACACACTTAAAATATCATAGTAGAGCTTGCTCGTCCTGTCGTGCCTTTGAGCCCAATCTAGGGCCTTCGAAGTGGAACCGGCAAAGACAAAGGAGACTGGAGCGGCCATTTCTGGCTTATTAGTCGCCATCAGCC